CCATCCCTCCCCGGTTTCCCGGTTCCCGCCGGCAGTGCGGGAATTCCGCCGTTCCCGTTTTTTTTGGGATGCTCACGTCGAGCAGGGCGCTGTCCATGCTGAAGCCGTGCGTGCTCAGCATCGCCTGCAGATTGTCCAGGCTCGAGTCGATCGTGTCCAGGTGCTCGTTCAGCTCCGTCCTGCTGGGAACACCCGCAGCGCTGGGAACGGGAACAACCCGGGAATTCCGGAATTCCGGAATGGGAACACGGGAATGGGAACACGGGAATGGGAACACCGGCCGCACTGGGAATGGGAACATGGGAACGGGAACAGCAATGGGAATTCCGGAATGGGAACACGGGAACACGGGAATGGAAACACGGGAATGGGAACACGGGAATGGGAACACCGGCCACGCTGGGAACGGGAATTCCGGAATTCGGGAATTCGGGAATGGGAACACGGGAATGGGAACACGGGAATGGGAACACGGGAATGGGAACACGGGAACGGGAACACGGGAATGGGAACACCGGCCGCGCTGGGAACGGGAACATGGGAACGGGAATTCCGGAATGGGAACACGGGAATGGGAACACGGGAACAGGAATTCCGGAATGGGAACACCGGCCGCGCTGGGAACGGGAACAACCTGGGAATTCGGGAATGGGAACACCGGCCGCGCTGGGAACGGGAACATGGGAATGGGAATTCCGGAATGGGAACATGGGAATGGGAACAACCCGGGAATTCGGGAATGAGAACAGGGGAATGGGAACACCGGCCGCGCTGGGAACGGGAACAACCCGGGAATTCCGGAATTCGGGAATGCAGGAATGGGAACACCGTCCGCGCTGGGAACGGCAACGGGAACGGGAATTCCGGAATGGGAACACGGGAACATGGGAATGGGAACACTGGCCGCACTGGGAACAGCAACGGGAACAACCCAGGAATTCGGGAATGGGAACACGGGAATGGGAATTCCGGAATTCAGGAATGGGAACATGGGAACGGGAACAACACGGGAATTCCGGAACGGGAACAACCTGGAAATTCGGGAATGGGAACACGGGAATGGGAACACCAACGGCACTGGGAACGGGAACGGGAATAACCCAGGAATTCCGGAATTCGGGAATGGGAACAGGAACGGGAACAACCCGGGAACAACTCGGGAATTTGGGAATGGGAACAGGAATGGGAACAACCCCGGAACAACGCAGGAACTCAGGAATGGGAACAGGAATGGGAACAACCTGGGAACTCAGGAATTCGGGAATGGGAACTCAGGAACTCAGGAATGGGAACACCAACGGCAATGGGAACAATTCAGGAATGGGAACAGGAACAACCCGGGAATTCGGGAATGGGAACAACACGGGAACTCAGGAATTTGGGAACTCAGGAATGGGAACAACCCAGGAACTCGGGAATTCGGGAACTCAGGAATGGGAACAACCCAGGAACTCGGGAATTCGGGAACTCAGGAATTCGGGAATGGGAACAACCCGGAAACTCAGGAATGGGAATTCGGGAATGGGAACACGGAAACTCAGGAACAGCAACGGCAACAACTCGGGAACGGCAACGGGAATGGGAACAGGAACTCGGGAATCTGGGAACAGGAACTTGGGAACTCAGGAACAGCAACTCTGGGAATTCTGGGCCGATCCCGCATTTCCCAAGCAGGGGATTCTGGGAATTCCGGGAATTATCCCGGGAATTCCGCGCCGACGCCACGTTTCCCGAGCAGGGGATTGTGGGAATTCTGGGAATTCTCCCGGGAATTCCGTCCCGACACCACGTTTCCCGAGCAGGGGATTGTGGGAATTCTGGGAATTCCGGGAATTCTCCCGGGAATTCCG